GGTTGTAAACCCAAACACATGACTGCCTCATCACTGCCTGTATGTACAGCCCCCCAGGTCTTAAAGGCCTATGTCTCCAATGCTGGCTGTATCCCTGAACACACAGAGATTTACCTAGTTCTTCTACCAAGTGCTGGGATTAAAGGCATGTGCCACCACAGCCACACTCTTGCTGTGGCTCTAATAGCTTTGACCCCTGGGCAACTTTATTTATTAACATACAATCAAAATCACATTTCAGTACAATTAGAATATCACCACACAGAACCATGTGGGTCACAAGTGAATAAAACTCAGCCAGGTGTGTTGGCTCACAGGAGTCACCTACTAGGTGGAATGCTTAAGCAGGAGGATTGTTGGGAACTGGAGTATCAGATCTCCAAAGCTACAGAGAAAGACTCTTCTTCAGGAATTGAAATAAAAATGGAGTCCATAAACAGCTAGGAAATTAATGAACAAATAAAATTCAGTATAATAGGCTCCTGTCTTTCAGGCAAATCTCAGCTTTTTGTCTACCCCAAAAGAAACTCTTTTCATCTAGACACTGAAAAATATCGTATACAGGCAGCCTCAAACACGTAAGGATCTTCCTCTAGACTGAAGGGAATAAAGTATATGAACTGAAAACACAGGGATTTTTGTTGTTGTTGTTGTTGTTGTTTTGGGTATATGTTTGTTTTGAGACAGGTTCTCTCTTTTTGCAGCCCTGGATGTCTGGATCTTACCATGTAGACCCAGCTAGGTGTGAACTCAGAGTTTGGCCTGCCTCAAACGCACAATGGTTGGGGTTAAAGGCATGTACCACCATGAACTGCAAAACACAAACTGCTTTTTTCCCCCCATTATTATCTTTTTATTAAGAATTTTTTCATTCATTTTGCACACCAATCAAAGTTCCCCATCTTCCCTCTTCCTCCCCCCTCTGAGATCCCCCTCCCAATCCACTCCCTACTCCCTCCCACAAGAGGCGAGGACTCCCATGTGGAGGCACATTCAGTAGAGGCAAGTCCAAGCTTTTCCCCCTGCCTCAAGGCTTCATGAGGTGTCCCATCATAGGTAGTGGGCTCCACAATGTCCACTCATGCACCAGAGATGGATTGTGATCCTACCACCAGGGGGCCTCCCAAGCAGATCAAGCTACACATATGTCTCACCCTGCAAAGGGCCTAGTCCAGTCCCATGTAGGCTCCACAGACATTGATCCAGCCTTCATGAATTCCCTCTAGTTTGATTTGAGCTATAGAAAGTGCTGTCTATAGCCAATAGAGTTCCACTATTACTTGTGTGTGTAGTATCCTTGATGGATATTCCTTCATAATTGGTCATGGTTTACGGCAACATACACATAACAACCATGATACATCAAATGTAGGACTTCCTGATTCTAGTTCTAAGAACAAGAAATGTGATGAAAGAAAAAAATACTGTGATACCAAGTTCTTATATTGCCACCTGAGTAGATCTCACTTTCATAACTCTTGGTTTCTAAAGCATTGAGCACCTTGTGAAGCCATGTGCTCTGAGTCCCAATGCTGAGAACTTTCTTTAGGATTTCACGTCCTGTACAACTTTGAGAGTGACTAGCTTAGTGTGATGGGAAATAAAAAACCACAGACACAGGTAGAGAAATGCTGGGGATGAGTGGTCAGGGTGCTGTGAAGGAGCCGCACCAGGAACTCCAAAACACAGAACATTTATTATATGCAATGATAAAAGGGTACAGCTACTCATGCTATGGGATCTCTGTGAGGAACAGTCTCAAGCTGCAATGAATCCAGGGAGGATTTCATCCATCCCATCCTACTAACCCCAGTAGCCTTCCATAGCTCAGAACTTATCAATAAAACCCAGGGCTCAAGTATGGGGTTATAATGTGGAAGATCAAAGAAGCAAAGGAACAACCACCAGTGATTTCTTACCTCTCCAGCTACTCTGACCTAATGAGGGTCCAAGATACTGCCTCAACCTCCCAAGTATATAGTTATTGTATTTGTTGTATATAGTTTTCCTTATACTAGTTTTAACTTTTTAAAATTATTTTTATTTTCATTAGACAAAACAGGGGAAATGTGTTGATACTTTATGTGTGCTGAAATGTGGTGATATTTTATTTGTATGTTAATAAATAAGGCATGCCTGAAGATCAAGGGAAAAAAGGCCAGCCATTTTTACGTGGACACAGAAGTCAAACATGCCCTTAATCTGATCACATGACAGGCAGAGTCTCTGTGTGTTCAAGGAAACACTAGGGAATGTCCAAGTGTAGTGAGACACACCTTTAATCCCAGTACCAACCATAGAGACCTGGAGTTCTGTGCAGACAGGCAGTGACCAGGAAGTGAGGTAGCTGGGCCAATGAGAAGCCAGAAGAGCAAGGCAATCCAAACTTAGGCAATAAAAACCTAGGTAGACGGGAAGTCAGGGCATTTTGGAAGGTGCAGAGCTGGTGAGGTAAGGTAGCTGGTGGCTCCCCGAATTTCCCTGATCTCTAAGGCTCTCATCCATATATTTGGCTCTTTTTTTTTTTTTTTAAATTAATAAGACCGTTTAGAAATTCGTTTACAGGGCCAGGTGTGACTCTAAGCTCCTGGACAGAGTCTTCTCTGCTTCCTCTGAAAGTTTTACAACCCGTTACTGCTCACCAGGCTGGTCTCAAACTTAGAGATCCTCTTGCCTCCGCCTTCCATGTGCTGGGATTAAAGGCGTGTTCCTGTGTTAGGGGATCTAGTTTGTTGTGGGCCAACTTTCTGGAGTGGGCTGGTTTTTGAAGCCCATTTCTAAGGTCCTGGTGTGTGTGTGTGTGTGTGTGTGTGTGTGTGTGTGTGTGTGTGTGTGTGTGTGTTTGTCGGGGTTACTGCAGACATAGTGACTTCTACAGCTGCCAAGAAACAGCGGATTCCCAAAGTGACCAAGGTGAAAAACAAAGCGCCAGCTGAGGTAGAGCTAACTGCAGAGCAGCTCTTAAGAGAGGCTAAAGAGAGAGAACTCGAGCTCCTTCCACCCGCACCTCAGCAGAAGATCACAGATGAAGAGGAGCTCAATGATTACAAACTTCGGAAGAGGAAGACATTTGAAGATAACATAAGAAAAAATAGGACTGTGATTAGTAACTGGATCAAATATGCCCAGTGGGAAGAAAGTCTCAAGGAAATCCCAAGGGCTCGGTCCATATACGAGCGTGCCTTGGATGTAGATTATGGGAGTATTACACTCTGGCTGAAGTATGGAGAAATGGAAATGAAGAATTGCCAGGTGAACCATGCCCGAAATATCTGGGAGCGAGCCCTAACAACTCTGCCCCGAGTCAGTGAGTTCTGGCACAGGTACACATCCATGGAGGAGATGTTTGGCAATGCCGCCGGTGCCCATCAAGTGTTTGAGCGCTGGATGGAATGGCGGCCTGAGGAGCAGGCCTGGAACGCCTACATCAGCTTCCAGCTGAGACACAAAGAGGTGGAGCGGGCCCGTACCCTTCATGAACGCTTTGTGCTCGTGCACCCTTCTGTGAAGAACTGGGTCAAGTATGCCCGATTCGAAGAGAAGCATGCTTATTTTGCCCATGCGCGGAAAGTCTACGAGAGAGCAGTGGAGTTCTTTGGAGAGGAGCATATGGACTCACACCTGTATGCGGCCTTTGCCAAATTCGAGGAAAACCAGAAAGAATTGGAAAGGGTACGAGTTATCCACAAATATGCCCTGGGTAGAATTTCAAAACAAGGGGAACAAGAACTCTTGAAAAACTATACCGTCTTTGAGAAGAAGTATGGTGACCAGGCTGTTGAAGATATCATCGTGAGCAAACGGAGATGCCAATATGAAGAAGAAGTGAAGGCTAATCCATACAATTACGATGCCTGGTTTGATTACTTGCGCTTGGAGGAAAGTGAGGCGGAGGCCGACACAATGCGGGAAGTCTATGAGAGGGCCATTGCCAACGTGCCGCCCATCCAGGAAAAGAGGCATTGGAAGCGCTACATCTATCTCTGGATCAACTATGCATTCTAAGAAGAGCTGGAAGCCAAGGATCCTGAGAGGACTAGGCAGGTCTATCAAGCGTCTTTGGAACTAATTCCTCACAAAAAGTTCACATTTGCCAAAATGTGGTTATATTATGTACAGTTTGAAATACGACACAAAAATCTGCCACTGGCCAGAAGAGCTTTGGGGACTTCCATAGGCAAATATCCAAAGAACAAGTTATTTAAAGGCTATATAGAACTGGAACTACAGCTTCGAGAATTTGAAAGATGCCACAAGCTTTATGAGAAGTTCTTGGAATTTGGACCTGAAAGTTGTACCTCATGGATTAAGTTTGCAGAATTAGAGACAATCCTTGGTGATATCGATAGAGCCCGGGCCATCTACGAATTAGCCATCAGCCAGCCAAGCTTAGACATGCCAGAGGTCCTTTGGACATCCTATATCCATTTTGAGATTGAGCAGGAAGAAACTGAAAGAGCACGAAACCTTTACCGACAATTGCTTCAGCGAACACAGGATGTCAAGGTATGGATCAGTTTGGCTCAGTTTGAGTTATCCTCAGGGAAAGAAGCAAGTGTGACTAAATGCAGACAGATTTATCAAGAGGTGAACAAAACCATGAGAAACCGAGAAGAGAAAGAAGAGAGACTTATGTTGCTGGAATCCTGGTGAGGGTTTGAAGATGAATTTGGAACAGTATCAGACAAGGAAAGAGTAGACAAACTCATGCCAGAAAAGGTCAAGAAGAGGAGAAAGGTCCAGGCCCAAGATGGGTCTGATGCCGGCTGGGAAGAATACCATGATTACATCTTTCCAGAGGATGCTGCCAACCAGCCGAACCTCAAGTTTCTGGCAATGGCCAAGCTTTGGAAGAAACAGCAACAAGAAAAAGAAGCTGCCCAATAGGATCCAGATAAGGACATTGGTGAGAGTGAATCCTCATCTTTTTAAATGTTGGAAATTTTTTTAATAGAAATTAATAGTTTAGAACATTGATTTCTGAACATTTTTATATATTTACTAAGTAAGGAGTTATCATTGATAGCTACCTTTGTAATTACTTTTAAAAAACTCTCTCGGAGTAAATGTGGATGAAAAATTGCAAGCAAAGGAATTTTTCTATATAATAAAAAAAAAAGCACCATAGATTCTAGTGTTCACTCCTTCTGCTCCTACCCTATAAGGAAATGAGTTTTATATAGCCTATGTACTCAGATGCCATTCAGTGTATGATGGATAATTTATAAGCCATGACATTTCCCTACAATGAGACAATGTTTAGACATCAAAGTGAAGTGATGATACACACTGGGACATGAATAAACCTTGATAACATTTAGAAAGCAAGAGATGCCATGTGATTCCATGTACAATAACTGTCAAGAACAGGCAGATCCAGAGAGTGGATTATGGTTATCAGGCCTGGGGAGAGAGGGTGGAGGGAATGACTGCTTATAGGAAGATCCCTTTTCGGGAAGATGATGGTATTCTAGAAATAGAGAGTGGTGACTGTACACTGCCATGAGTGTTCAAAATGTTACTGACTGTTTACGTTTAAAATGCTGTATTATTATTTTTGTATTTAAAAAATAAATTTTATCTTATTAATACCATGGCCTGTGTAGTATATGCTCACTCCTTTGGCTTCTGTGGATTGCCCAGACACTGAGTTTGTTTCCTTCTTTTTTGACTTTTGATTGTAGCTTTGACCATGGAGCCCAGGCTAAGGTTGAATTCTAGATCCTCCTAGCTGAGGAGTGTTGGTGCTATCCTAAGTCTAGCTCCACCCAGACATTCTGATGCATGTTCCCCGAGTCAGCTCCTGTAGTTCTCACACTGTCTGAGATGACAGAAGAACTCCCAGCATTCAGACTATTCTTATTCAGTACTTCAGACACCAGCTTGGCTTCCATCTTGGGATCTTTCTTTCCATCCTTTCTTTGGGTACCATTCCATGGTGCTAAGGACAGCATCAAAGGCTTCTGATGTGCTTGGCGGGAGCTCTTCTGCCAGGTGTGGTAGTGCACACCATTAATTCCAGCACCCAATAGGGATAGTACTTAGATGTCCTATGGTGGAGATCATTCTAGTCTACATAAAGGGTATCACATCAAACAGAGAGAGAGAGAGAGAGAGAGAGAGAGAGAGAGAGAGAGAGAGAGAGAGAAACAAAACAAAGGAGAACTTCCACTTCCTCAGAGAGACAGCCACAAAGCTCAATTTTACTCCTTAGCATCCTTCACCCTGAGATACAGATTGGACTTTCTTCCCATGCCTGTGGGAAGAGGGAAAGGTTCCTTTAGCCATTGCTGCATGCATGCCCCAGGAGCAGTCCCACACACCTGGAAGCCCTCATCCAGATAGGCGCAGCACTGATCCAAGATTCTCTAGCTGGAATACTCTCATTCCAGAAGCTGCTGTCCTGCCCTTTGACACCATTCTCACTATAGCCCAAACTTGCCTGGACCTCCCAATTTTGTCCCAGCTGGCCTGGAGTACCTGATCTGGTTGGCTTCACCTTACAAGCCTATCATACTCATCTCAAATCCAAATGTCAACATTGCTTTTATTTCCATATCTCACCCAAACAAATAGTTAATAGTTTTCATCTAGAGAATATAAAGAAATGTTTATTGTGTCACCTGGGCTGGTCTTAGCCCTGGATATTAGGAGAGAATGGACTAGGTTCCTTAGGGGTCACTGAATCACCATCTATGTTCCAGATAGCAGGACACTGAATCCAGCAAGTGAGTGCAGCCTCCATCACTGTAGAGGGCTTCAGTGACTCCTCTGAGACTCTGCCTCAAATGGACCATTTGAGTCACAGGTCCTCTAATCCTCCACTGACTTCCAGTACCAGGGAGGAGGAATCAGTGTTCTCAATCCCCACCATGCTCATCCACATGGAGTTCAAGATGGTCCATGGAACAGATAGCATCAACTGTGCCATCATTAAGCGATGAATGTCAGGGATATAGTAATTCAGGAGTATGTTGATGACCCACTCCATGAGCTGGGACTGAGTATTACTGATATGTGGCCACAGCATGCAAAGTGTTGGCTGGGAAAGGCTTCATTTAATCTTGAGCTTAGACAGACAGTCAGGTTGTGGAACACTGTGGTGGCTCAATGCATGAGAGTTTGCTACATCAACCGAAAGACCTTACTGTGATGCCCAGAATCTCCTGTGGATAAAGAAACTGACCATTGAAAGTCATCCTCTGAAGGCAGGCATGGTGGCAAGTGTCTTTAATCCCAGCACATGGGAGGCAGGGGCATGTGGATTTCTGGGAGTTTGTAGCTGGCCTGGTATACATAATGAGTTCTAGGATGGCCAGATATGTGTATGAGACCACATCTCAGAGTGGGGAGGGAGAAGAGACCATGGGAAAGAGAGAGTGTGTGCTTCTTCTGACCTCCACATTGTTACAATAGCACACAGAGGCCTACATACAGACTCACATACACACTCAATGATAATAAATCAAAGGCATATCCTGAAAACATGTGTGGTGTGTGTGTAGATGTAGAAGACAGTAAGTGCTCCCAGAGAACAGAAAAAAGGGGGGAGGGGTCAGATAATCTGGGACTGATCCAAGGGTTTCAGGGTGCTGAAATCAAACACTGGTCCCCAGAAAGAACAGCACTCCCAGTTAACCCCTGAGCCATCTCTCCAAGAGAATCTCTCTCTGGCTTTTTGACTGGGGTTTCATGTAGATAAAGTGTATAAAATGCCCAAGAACAGGGAATTTTGGGTCATTGTTCACACTGAAAATTCTAGGATGCACAAGGTGTAGAAACAAGGGGGACACGAGAATGCAAACACGTGTGCAAACACGATTAGCATAATGAACAACTATGAAACTGTCAATGAAATCGACTCAGTAAATTAAAAGAATACAATGCCCTCTCATGCCAAAGGGTTTTCTGGAATCCTATGGGAAACTATAATGCTAAGGGTGGTGGGGGAAATAATATCCAGCTCCCCAAGCCTTCCAAAGCAAGAAAAAGACAGATCACAGCTCAACGGTGAGAATGCTGTATGCCCAACACCAGTTCATAGTTCCAACAACTTATTGTTCAAGAAAGAAATGTATATCCATAAATTAAAAATCTTTATGTAGGATGGACAACCAAAAGGCAGAGGTCAAACTAAGACAGAGGCATGGAGCCTGCCTCACACAGTCTATTATGCTCCTTCTAACATCCTCTCTCTTTATCTCCTTCCCTGTGTCTATGGTCTCTCAGACACTGATGGTGCTGGGATGAAATCCCTACCATTTTCCTATCTCTCTTCCTGTCTAAGGTTGGGTCTGCACTGTTGACCTTCATTAGAAAATGAGTCCCTGGTTCTCCATATCAAAGCTTCACTCCCTCTAATCTGAAGTAATGGAGCAGTCTTGTTTCCTAAGTACATCTAAAACCCCTTGAATATACATGTTCTTTTTCTGTAATGAGTCACTTGAATCCTGGCATTCATTTTTTCAGAGCCCAACAGGGACTTCTCCTTATTGATTGCAAACAGGAGCATAGTTTGAACACAGAATCAACAACAATCCAGACAACTCTTACCAACAAAGTAGATCAACTTGGGCTGCCTTATAGCCCAGAGTGTTTCCATGAGCTCAGAACAATGTTCGGCAAGTCTGTCTGGCAGGATGTCACCAGTTTCATCATAGATCTCCTCAGGGGCAGGGTGCCTCTCTAGGTCTGATGTGTGTGTCTGATGCCTTAGGTCTGAAGTGTGCTGCCACAGCTTCTTCCGGTTTCACAGAACAGGAAGTTCTTCACAAATTTGACCTGAGTGAGCTGGGATCCCTTGCAGGGAGGAGGACACTGATTTGGAAGTGTCTGTGATCATAGAGCCCTTCAAGTCTAAGCTCAGCAGTGTAGCTGTCAGTCTTTCTGTCTGTCTTCCAGAGTGAATGGCTTAAATGTCAAATACTGACACCCTCTCGACCTACATTCCCCCTCTTATGGGATGATGCACCACAAGTTTGGTCTCACTAATGACATCGGAAGAGCAGACACCATCCTGTCTTCCAGCGCGTATGTTGTAGAATTGTGGTGGGCAATCCAGAAATGGAGCACTTGTAGTGTGTCCAGTTCTTGTGGGTTAAACAGAAAGATTCCAGTGTCTGGAACTAAATTTATAATCTGATTTGACCCCTGCCTTAGTTAGGGTTTCTCTGGCTGCAACAAAACACCATGACCAAAGAGCAAGTTGGGGAGGAATAGGTTTATTTGACTTACCCTTCAGCATTACTGTTCATCACTGAAGGAAGTCAGGACAGGAACTCAAAACAGGGCAGCCTGATCACCGGCTTGCTTCTCTGGGCTTGCTCAGCCTACCTTCATATAGCATTTACGATCAGCAGCCCAGGGATGGCACCATCCACCATTGGGCTGAGGCCTCCCCCATTGATCACTAATTGAGAAAACGCCTTTCAGCTGGGTATCATGGAAGCATTTCCTCAACAGAGGCTCCTTCCTCTGATGACTCTAACTTGTGTCAAGTTGACACACAAAACCAACCTGTACAAACCCACATCTCAATTTCTCTTCATTCCATTATTTGAACCCAGTCTGTTTTCATTCCTAGTGACTGAGGAAAGAACAACAGCCTCATCACATATTGACTGCATCTATTTGTTATGCCCAGATTGCAGGGTCCCCCAAAGAACACCAAGGAGTCTGAATCCATAAGCAAAAGCAGAGAGCCTGTATTCAAGCAAGATGTATTCAAGATGGACGCTCCTTGTGTTTGATACAGTGGTACTATCAGAGAGCGCCAAGCCTGGGTGGGACCACATTTTGGTTTTGGTTTTGCCATAGTAGAGGTTGCAGGTGAGATGATTTCCAAGGTTCAGGACCCCAATTGGCTGACAGTTGTCTAGGGGTTCAGGTGTGTGCTCAGAATGTTTGGACGGTCAGGTATTTCCCCTTAGCTGTTGGCCCTCCCTAGGTAGGGTCAGCTTA